GAAATTGTCCATGCATACCTTCTATGAAATGGACAAAGTAAACAAACTGAAAAAAGTAGCATAAAATCTTTCCCTGATAAAAGTCTTTCAATTATAATAATCTCAGAGATTACTTGTAACTACAATAATGGAAAACTTTTGAGACAGAAATGTGAATTTCAAGTTGGTGGCATTCCTTTACCTTATTTTAGTAAGAATATTCATGTCAGAAGACACACAGTGAAAATAATTTTACAAAAGATTTTGTATACAGTGTACATTTTTACAATTAAACTCTCATCGTAAATAAAATGTGTATTTTTTACCTTATTGCTATATCCTTGCTTTTTATGTTTAGCTCCTACAGAATACAGTACAGGAATCAAATCTGGAGGACAGTCAGCAAAATATTCTGTGCAGGTAACTGGTGACTCATGTATGTCCATGGGATAAGGATTTTCAAAGATTGGAAAACTAATGGAGGAAGACAATTTATTAGTACCATTGTGACATGTGGAGTATATTAGATTTTCTTAAAGTATATAAAACAAAAATAAATGTATCTAAATTAAAACTATCATCCATAATAAATACAACTTTTCTTATTTCATAAAATGTATTTATTGTTTTTTATTCCAAAACCAAAATTTACTGAGAGTCAATAAAGGTTACAAAATTAATGTACCATAACTGCAGTCCTTTTTTGTTAGTTTTTAGTCACGTGAGTAGTCCTACTAAAGACAATAGGACTACTTGTGTGAGTAAGGACTACTTGTGTGAGTAAGGGTTTGCAGAATCAGGTTCTAATTTTTCCTAACATCTGTAGAATTTTCCCTATAAAGAAAGTTTACATATAGGTTCTAAACTCCAGAGTCAACAACATATGATTTTTATATTACAATTAATGAGAAGCATTGTCCATAAAATTATGCTTTAGATATCTGTATTAGTAATCAGGTCTCATAATAAACTAGTTTACTCAATTTGATGGTGGCATATTAATTTTCCATGATTTGTACTGTGGTAGCAATTGCAGACAAGTGAGTCCTCAGTTTAATTGCCGTTCACTTGTATTAACTTTATCTGTCAGATAAGGAATAATGCCCCACATTTAGAGCAACAAAAAGTACAGAATATAATTCCTAAATGAAAAAATGCACAAGAGGTTACTTTACTTATACAGCAACTAGAGTTCTTTAAGACGTTTTGTTCCTATGGGTCCTCCATGTGAGGATGTGAGTGTGTCCATGTACCCTTGATCAGAGATATTTCTACTAATAGTTTCTGTGGGGATGTAGGCCTCCTCATGCTCCAGTATGAAAGAATATAAGGAAGAACATACCTGTGCCACTCCAGGTCCTTCTCAGCTTCACACCATGAAAAGTCTCTGAAAGGGAGGGGAGGGGGGCATGAGTAGCAGAGCACTCATATGGACAAAACATCTCAAAGAACTCCACTTGTATTTGTAACATCACCTTCTTCAAGGTAATGTCCTGGTAGATGCACCACATGAACATTAGAATGGCCATATTGGGTCAAACCAATGGTCCATTTAGCCCAGTTTTCTGACAGTGTCCAGATGCTTCAGAGGCAATGAACAGAAAAGTGTAATTATCAAATGATCTAGTTTCAGCATCCCAGTGTGAGGAGACTCCTGATATGAAAGAAATTGCTGGAGAGGTGGACCCAGTACAGCATTTAGAATAGTTCCACCAAAGACTGCATTCACACCAGAAGCATGGAGTAGGGCATAATGCCATGAAAACATGAGATGGAGTACCAGGTGGCTGCCTTTCAAATGTCCTTGATGGGCACATTTTGAAGGAGGGCAACAGATACAGATTAAGACCTGGTAAAGTCAGCAACAACTGTAGGAGAGGGTTGCAATGCAAAATGCACCCCAATGCCCATTTCGACAGCTTTTCATGGCAAAAGGAAAAAGAGTCTGGGAGCTATCCTGAAGGGCTTAGGGCTGTGAAGATAGACAGTGAGAACTCATCTTATGTCCAATGTAGGGGTACCAGTCTTCTCTGCATGAATGGGTCTTAGGGTAAAATGTCAGCAGCTGAATGTCCTGCTTAGTGTGGAACTCTGATGACACTTTAGGGAAGAAGTGAAGGCTGCAGTGCAACAAAACTTTGGATAAAAAACTGTAATAGAGGATCAGCCATGAGAGATACTAGTTCCACTATCTTTCTGGCTGACATGATTGCTACAAGGAACACAATCTTGAAGGATAGATGTAACAGCAAGTAGGTTGCTATAAACTCAAAAGGGAGGTCAAGTACTAAATTATGTTCCCAGTGTGGGGTAGGGTCCTGCACTGGAGGGAATAGATTAAGGAGGGGACTTTTGTGAAGATCCTTAGGGCCACTGATAGACTGAAAGACAGCAGATGGCAGGGGCGCTGACAGCCTCTGTGCATCCCTGGGTAAGGTGTGGAGGGGGGCATGTGTTACAATCCTGGAAGGGGTGGGGCCATGTGGAGAAGGGGTGCTGGGTGGTGCTCCCTCCATCCTTCAGAGTCATCCAGAGAGCACAATGCAGTGCTCGGACAGCAATTTAAAGGGCTTTGGGCTCCGGTCGCTGCCACTGCCATGGTAGCAGTAGTGGTGGACAGGAGTCTCAGATCCCTTTGAATCGTAGTGCCCTGCGGCAACTGCCCACTTCCCCACCTCTGTCATTGGGCCTGGCAGATGGTACTATTAATGATCAACACTTACTATAAACTTGAAGAAGCACTGCTAAAGTGGGTGTATGGCTACATGAGACTAGGCATCCTGAAAAGAGCAAACAACCAGTCCCTGCGATCTAACAACAGAATGATGGTAGTGTGACCATCCTGAAGTGCTGCTTATGAATACAAGTGTTTAGAGACTGAAAATCTTGAATTGGTCTTTCCCTCCTTTTTTTTTTTTTTTTTTTGAGGGCCCAAGAAGCAGCTAGAGTAGAAATCCTTTCTGATGAAGTCTGGAAGAACAGTTTGATTGCCCTCTGTTGTAGAAGGAACTCTACGTCCTGCTTTAGGAGACTTTTTTAAGAAGAGTCCCAACAGGGGCTGTGCAGAGGGGTGGATGGAGCTGGACTGATGGAGTAGCCTGTTGAGTTTTCTTCCAGTACCCATTCGTCTGAAATGATATGCTCCTATGAAGTAAAGAAAAGGACAAGTTGATCTCCAAAGGCTAGGTGAATGGATGGATGTCATAGCTGAAGATCCTCTGAGGAGGATTTGCAGGCCTCAACTCCAGTGTCAAAATGGTTATTTGGATGAGGTAGCCATCAGAGAAGTGGCAGTGGAAGATAGGACCTTTTTGTGTGGCCTAAACCTTTTCCTTGATGGCTCAAAAGTTCTTTAGGGTGCCTGATGGTACACCAGATGGGAATGTTGCATGGTCTAATTTTCCTGTATTCTCCTTGTTGTAGAGGGAATATAGATACCAAGTGAGCACAACGTTGCCCTGGTGTCCTTGAATGAGTGAAGAGATCTGTCCAGTATTTTGCACTTTCCTAAGCAAAATGGAGGACTGTAGACAGGAGGCACAGTGCATTACTGTGGCAGTAACCACAAAATGAGAAGCCATCTCTGCTATATTAAGGGAGGAAAGCAGGGAAACTTTGACTATTGTTCACATTCTGTAATAAGAACTTGAAACTGTTCTCTTATCCAGAGGCAAAAACTCAATAGAGTAAGGAAACCTATTATAGTTGGTTAAGTCATATTTTGCCAGCAGGACTTGGTAATTGGAGACTCAGAATTGAAGAGAGGCTGATTAGTGGTTGTTTTCTGTGGGACTGAAGGTGTCCCCTCATTTCTGGAGGTCAGAGCTGGAGCTGATGAAGTCTCTGCAGCTGAATACAATGTACAGGACGGGGTGGGTGGGTGTAGAATTATGACACCATGGATTTAAAGGAACACTCAGGGAGAAGTTTCTTCCCTCAGTTTTTGAGATCTGCACGTCAAGCAGAGCAGATCTTCCACTTGGAAGGGACATGACTCTTCCCAGGGAAATGGAGGCAACTGGAATGCCCATCACTGAGGGGGAAATAGACCAGATATAGATCTGACAGGATTTGAATCCTGGGGTCTTGGGCATATTCTGAAAGAAAAGTTACCAGTTGAGAAGTGCTGAGAGGAACAAGGAGTGGAAGACATGGGGGAGATCCCCCCCCCTTCAAAGCACAAACTGTGTTATAAAGGTAAATAAACAATTAAAACAATTACAAATAAACGTGAAATTAAAATTCAAAATAAAAATGTGGCAGAAAAATAACTGCATGAGATAGATAGCAAATGCCTCAGAAGTCCATCTTTAGCTGCAGGTGATTGAGATGGAACTGAACGGTCTGCTTCTACCACTATGCCCTTATACTAGAGCATGTGAAGGCATAAGGTGTAGTTGCAGGCCTGAAGGCACCAATAGCAGAAAATCTTTGATTGAGATCATGTTGTGTACACACATCCTCATCTAGAGCACCAAAAGGGACAAAAGCCCAAATAAGGTGGGCTGAGTTCACTTTCACCAGTTTTACACTGCTGTAACTGAACTGACTTACACAGAAAATCAGACAAAAGAATATGTTTGCATAGTGAAATATTGTCAGTGTTGACTGGAGTGGAGAAAGAATAAGTATTAGAATTACAGGCCGGGATGTGCTGAAGATGTTGATAATTTTGGAGCATCTTCTTTGTATGGACATAAGATATTATTTAGAGAAAATGGAAAATCCTGCATTATCCTAGTATAAAACTGACTCCATTGATGTAGAGTTTTTACACCACCAAAATAAAATAGAAAGGTTTTCAACACTATCAGGTAGATATTGATGCAGGAGGAACAGTTTCATGTAGACTTTGTACTTACTTGCTTTGTGTTAGGTCAACAACAATGAGATCTTTTTCCAACAGTACAACTACAGCATAGGGTTCTTGAAATTCTAAAAGTGAGGAATCAAGCACAAAACACATGCACAGCTTCCTTTATAACAAGTTAGCCAAATTATATAATCTCCTGAACAATTACTGTACATTAAATAAATGCTTTGAGACAGAAATCTGAATAGCTAAAGACAGATTTGCAAATTTAAAAGAAAGGCATTTGATTAGAGTCAGACAGTGATGTAGAAGTTCCACAAAGACAAGTAGGTCTGACGATGTAATTGTTGATAAACATATATGGTGAAAATAGCACGGTACATTATAGCATATCAACATGGTGTTGAATGAAAAGTAATAGAGTGGAGTAGGAGAGCCCACATGAACATGTGAAGACAACTGGATGTGTTACTCTATTACTGAATCTAATTATACATAGAGAGAACCTTGTCATCACAGACTGTAAAGATTCAATGGGCATTATTGTTTCACTATGAGCAGCGATTGTCCAAAATTACATTTCACCCACTTCTGATAATGCACAGCTGTGACCTCAGATGCAAAATATTAACTAGATCCATTATTTTAAAATGTAAATTGGACAAATGTTGGAGACAAAGATGCTGAACGTATGCTCGAAGGTAAAGAAAGATACAGTTGTACTGGAAACAGAGTTGGGGAGGAATAGCGTATAAAGGGCTGAAAAAGAAGACCGAGATTTAAATCACTGCTTCCTCTCCTAAATGTCAAGCTGCTTTTTGCAGTGTACATTGTGGTCTTCCAATTACTCTTACATTGCTTTCTTTTTTTAAAGTGTATTTTTATCTAAGTTGTCAATCACCTTGGCATCCAAAATATGATAATCTTGTTTAGAAGTTTTTTTTTAAAATAAAAACAAGTTCTAGATAATTAAGGCAAACATAGCAGGAAAAGAATAAAATTAGCACAGTAAGGATAATGCATTATTTATATACTAAAAAGTATTTTTCATAATTAAAACATACATTGCATAAATTGGTTTATATAAAGGTATAATTGTTATTATTCTGTTGTCAGCCTGCTGGAGGCATCTAACATTTTGTAATCAATTCAGATGCAGCCAGCGCCTCTCTCTCTCTCTCTCACCTTCCCCCCCCCCCACATTCCTTTCTTTTGGTAGACCATATTTTTTGTTTTTTCTTGTTTTATGTTTTTTCTTTAGGGTAAAATAAAAATTATTTAGATCAAAAGTATGAGTACGTGGTTGCTCTTTATGCAAAAGAAACAAAAACCCTCAGATTGTGTTTTTAAGCTAATGAACTATAAAATTCAAACAACAGTAAGCCACTTTATGGTGTGCAACAATGTACCCTTCAAACAGTTGAAGGCACAAAGCTGAATGAATCTGAAGAACTGCACCAAATAATGCTCTTCTCTTTGAGGTCTACTACTAATGCACATATCCCATGGTAGTATAATGGTGCACTGGATTATGAACACAGACTAAAACAAAACAAAAACATATCTTTGTGTAAATCAGTAATGGGTGGTAAAGAACCCATTTAATGGAAGCACCACTATGTTTAATATAGAGATTTGGCAGCCCAGACACATGAATTTAATTAGTAAAGCCTCGATTCAGTAGATTTTGGAAATAAATATCTGCTTTATTCCAATTCAAATTATTGAAGTTTTTTTTTTAATTAACTGATGTGCTAAATGTTTCTTTTATATTTCCACCTACCCTCTTTTATGCTGAAGATACCAGACAATCTTTTCAGTTTTTAGCTTTCCCCATCCCTCACCCTTCTTAGTGTTTTCTGTTAATTAATCCTTGATTTAGCAGTCATTCCCTGTTTATCTGAGAAAAACACTTCAGCATATTCTCATCTAAGCTTGTCCTTAAGCATTGTGTTCAAAATGGATGGACTTAAGCACAAGTTTAAACACTTTGGGGATTGAGGAACGTAAAGTTCAATTACAGCCATGAGACTTCAGCTCTCCACCTATTTCTGAGCAATGGCAATGTAAGCTTCCTCACACTGAGGGTACATCTAGATTGCAAGCTTCTTTCGAAAGAGAGCATTCACACCTCACAACTGGATCGAAAAAGCAATCTGCTTTTTCAAAAGAGAGCATCCAGACTGCATAGACGCTCTCTTGAAAGAAAGCCCTGATTGCTAGTCACAGAACAGCCACCAGGGCTCCTGTGCTTTTTTCGATTGCCTCCACTTTTGAAAAATGTCCCTGTTCTGTGTCCACGCATGCCCTTTTTCGAAAGAGCTCTTTCAAAAAAGGCGTTCTGCCTTTTCATTTCAGGTTTACAAATGTCGAAAAAAACCCTGCGTTCTTAATTTCGAAAGAACGTGATTGCAGTGTGAATGCAAGTGAAGTTTTTTTTTTTTTTTTTAAATGTAGTCTAGACTTACCCTGACCAGCATGATCCACTTGGGACCTAGAGCCCTCTTTCCACCCACCATTTGTTTCTTGATCTTTCTGCTGTGACTGCAAACAAAGAGTCCAATGCTGTCTATTGTGATGTTGGTGTTTGTAATGTGGAGAACAGTCCATAGGAGCTAAGATCCCCAACTTGTTTATCATGCTGTATCATGACACTACATTCTGAGATAAAACCACCTCCTATGATTTTTTAACAATCATGTTTTCTTCTTTGACAACATTGTACTATTGATGCACTCACCATTTGGATATGGTGTTTCACAAAGAGTTAAAAACTCAACTATAGGGTGATCCATTTCAAGAACTGTAATAGCTTTTCCATGCATGATGGTTAGACTTGGTCTTCGACAAACTTTGTCATATGACAGTCCACCAGAAAAGATTATAAATGGTTCACTGTCAAAAAACAAAAGCAATAATAGATTATATAATTTTACGTGTGTGTCACGCTTTTCATTCTGAAGGGTTTTTACAAAGACAAAAATTAAATTGTGCTAGTGGATTTGTATTTTTTACATTATTAATACAGAAGCAGGTTTTGAAGGGTTTATTTTTGTGTGTGAAAATACTTTGAGAGATTTCTAGAACTGAGAAAAGCAGGTTTATACATGTATTAAAATTAAATAAAATAGGCCTTAAAATATCACATTTTGAATCTCATCATTCTGAGGTCCCTCTATCTTAACAACTACCCTCCAAAAAGCAGTACATAATGAGATTATTACACTGTAAAATATATAATTATTTTATCAATTAAAACAAAATTTGTATTTTTCAACATAGCTGAAAATGTATCAACAATGAGTAACAGTGAATAGCTTGATATACAGTATGTCATCTACCTCCATATTTGAAGCTGCATTTGGAAGTCTTTATTTGGGCTCTTGAGATGTATGAACACTTTTATGAAGATCCTGTCTTTTCATTAAAAATAGATATGGCTTTGTTGAAGATCCTTCTATAACAAGGATTTTTGTGGAAGTAACCCGCAGATACAACTGGACGCTTTGACAGAGATAAGGTTTTCCATGAAAGGAGCCATTCCCATTAATCCACAAGAACACTACAATGTGTGTGTAAATTAAGACTGATCTATACAGACTGTAACTAAAGCAAAATCTCAAAACCAAAAACGTAAAGTTAAAAACACCCAAGAGAACATAACCTATCACTGCTCCATCCAGAGACGGACTTCTCACCACTAGCATAACCACTTCAAACAACATACTACAACCTTGACACCAAGTAGAGGTGTTAGCCTTCCTGCGCTGTCTTCCCCAAACTTGAGTGTATGTCAGGGCAACTCAACATTGGAAGCCCCGAGGGCCACAATGATACTCATAGCACATGCCAAGGGCTGCAATTTAAGTGTGGTTGCATATCATGCAAATATGTATGCAAATAGTTTCTTTCACGCTGACAAGCATGAATACAAAGATTAAGGCAAGACTACACAACACACAGGCCCCATTTATGTCAGATCTGCTGATATGAATAAAATCTAATATTTACCCAATTTCCACCCATATGACAGCACTTTTAATGAGTAATGACAGTCCAGGAATTTAACTACTAAAACACATATAAACAGAAGACCATTGTACTGAATAGCCATTTTGGAGCGTTTTCCCAGTGGAGGCCATGTTCAAAGGGTCCCACTCACAGGCTGTGTGTTGAGCCCTGTGCAAACCCAAACTGCATCACAGGCCACAAACTGGCTGCGGGTCACATGTGGCCCACAGGCCGTGTATTGAGTAGCCCTGGTGTATGTGATATCCTGTAGCTGTATATAGACCTGGGAGAAAGCAAGTCTGATCTGTTTGTGTGTGGTGATGAGTTTGAGAAAAGTAGTTTGTTCACACCTAACACATCAAAGTAATGCAAACGTAACTGAAAAATTCTCATTTCCCATTACTAGGACGTGTCTACAAACTTACCATCAACCTAAGTTACACAACTTCAGGTGAGTAATGTAGTTGAAGTTGAGTACTTAAGTCTGCCTACTGCTTTCCAGAAACAAAAAACAGGACTATGTAGCACTTTAAAGACTAACAAGATGGTATATTAGGTGATGAGCTTTCGTGGGCCAGACCCACTTCCTCAGATCAAATAGTGGAAGAAAATTGTCACAACCATATATACCAAAGGATACAATTAAAAAAAATGAACACATATGAAAAGGACAAATCAAATTACAGAACAGAAGGGGGATGTGGGGGGCGGGGGGAGGTAAATGTCTGTGAGCTAATGATATTAGAGGTGATAATTGGGGAAGCTATCATAATATAATAGCTTTCCCAATTATCACCTCTAATATCATTAGCTCACAGACATTTACCTCCCCCCGCCCCCCACATCCCCCTTCTGTTCTGTAATTTGATTTGTCCTTTTCATATGTGTTCATTTTTTTTAATTGTATCCTTTGGTATATATGGTTGTGACAATTTTCTTCCACTATTTGATCTGAGGAAGTGGGTCTGGCCCACGAAAGCTCATCACCTAATATACCATCTTGTTAGTCTTTAAAGTGCTACATAGTCCTGTTTTTTGTTTCAGCTACACCAGACTAACACAGCTACATTTCTATCACTATTCTACTGCTTTCCAGTTGACTGTTTACCCTTCTCATTCTGATGAAGTATTGGAGTAATCTGGAGAGTGCTTGGCCATCGATTTATCATATCTATACTAGGTCTATATATTGTTGATCCAGCCTGTAGTGAAGACATACCCTAACATGCTTTCTATGGAAATGCTGAATACAGAAGAAATGTTACCTTTTTGCTCCTACTTGGTATTCACTCACTTATTCCTCCAAAGACTACATTTCAATAATACAACAAATCAACTGATACTTTAAGAAGACAGGAAATCAGACTAACTGGACCACTGGTCTTGTCCCGGTATAGTAAGGAGACAGAGCAATGGACTAGATAAACAATGATCTGCTCAGGTCTGGCAGAGAGAAAGGATATTATCATTAATAAGCACTAGAGAAAGGCCTGACTGCCTGCCTTTCTCACTATAGTAAAGTGATACTTTAAAGACTAAAAAAACATGTAGATGATATCATGAGCTTTTGTGGCCACAACACACTTCTTTAGATGACAGGAGTGTTAGATGTCCAGAACCAAAATTAAATAAGGGAGAAAGAGTGGGGATGGGGGAAGAGGCAGAGGGTATGTAAATATCAAAGGGAAAACCGAGTTGGTATGTAACAAGCAAAACTCCACAAGCCAAATACACAGGGAAGGGTCAGAACTACAATTCATTCATAAGTTTCATGCTCATGCCAATGGTTTGAATCGAGATACCGGATGGCTGGATCATTATCAACCTACCAAACAATGAAGATACCAATGGTTCTTTGTCTGTGTAGATTCTGGTGTTAATACTCTTCCTCTCTAAATGCTAATTAATGTTCCTTATCTGTTTCCTTTAACTATCCAGTCTTTAGGTGTTTATAGTTTACAGTTTTGCTTGTTACATACCAGTTCAGTTTTCCCTTTGATATTTATATATCCACTGCCTCTTATTGTTCCTCCCTCCTCCCATTCCCCTGCCCCCTTCTCCCTTATTTAATTTTGCTGGGATGTTTTCTAGGATTTTACATTCATAGTCTTTTCTAACATATGAAGCTGCATTTGTTCTTCTTTATAAGAAATTAGGCATCATTACACCAGGAACGTCTACTTTATTATAAAACTTCAGAGGGGTAACCAAGTTAGTCTGTACAGGATAAACTTAAAAAACAACAAATAGTCTGGTAGCACTTTAAAGACTAACAAAACATGTAGAGAAAGCACTAGAGAAAGGCCTGCCTGCCTGCCTCTCTAACTATAATGAAGTGATACTTTAAAGACTAAAAAAACCATCTAGATGGTATCATGAGCTTTCGTGGCCACAACCCACTTCTTCAGATGACCAGAGTGTTGGATGTCCAGAACCAAAATGAAATAGGGGAGAAGGGGCAGGGGGAAGGAAAAAAATGGGAGGAGGAGAGAACAAAAAGAGGCAGAAGTATTAAAAGATGCGATGCTACTGTTAAACTATACAGTTTTTTACAAAGTTCAAAACCCTTTTAAAGATTTTTTTAATGCATCGATTAATATTTTAATGTCCTATTGTACCTATTCTGTAATATGTTACTTGTGACAGCATTTCAGCCTCTACACAAACTATATAGAACAACTCATATAGGCAAACCAGCTCACTTCTAACTTGTATAACTGGAATCTTATATCTGTTAATTTTGGTTTCCAAAAAGATTATGATAGATGAAAAATGTATTGTTAAAATAATTCAGAATATAAGGAAGAAAGCTGAAGATTCTGAAACAATGCATGTGAAGTGACGATGCATGTCAACTTCTTTGTAACAATAAATTTAAACTTCTTTGTATACTGCAACCTTAAATACTACAGGTCTGACCTCCCTTGTCCCGCACCCTTGGAACCTGACCCATCCTGAATCAGGGAATTTGCCATATATGAGGAGGTTCCCTGCGCTCCGCAGGCAAGCGTCCTATCCTTTAAGCCATGCCAGAACCTGCCCCACCACCTCACCTTCAGGGCGTCCCTTATCCCGCCTCTCCCAGAGTGGGCAGGACTTGAACCCGTCACCCTGCCCTCCTCAGGCGAATGCCCTATCCCTTCAGTTTCAAATTTTATTTCATATTATATTATAAACTGTAGCATAAAATAAAAAGCAAAATTAGCATAAAACCTATAAACTTGACACTATGTTTTTTTTTTTAAAAAATCAGAATTTTTTAAAACTTTATTTTGCTCTGATTTGTAAAGAAAATAAATTTTGAAATGTTATTATTTTTCACAGAATGGAACCTCTGAATTTAAACCAGTTCTAGATTGGCAGAAACTCCCTTCCTTCTGTGCCTGCTCTGTCCCCACACTTCTCCAATGGGATTTTACTAGGCTGTGATTTTCAACTGAACTTCCACTAAAAGAGGGTTTCCCAATGGGTAGAACATAAGAACATAAGAACGGCCATACTGGGTCAGACCAAAGGTCCATCTAGCCCAGTATCCTGTCTACCGACAGTGGCCAGCACCAGGTGCCCCAGAGAGGGTGGACCGAAGACAATGATCAAGCGATTTGACTCCTGCCATCCCTCTCCAGCCTCTGACAAACAGAGGCCAGGGACACCATTTCTATCCCCCTGGCACAGACATATGTGCTACAGGCAGAGACACACACTAGTGCACATACATACCCCTCCAGAGAAATGCACGCACTCTAACTTATGTGGGGAGAGATCTGGTAGCTGTTTCCCTGAGTAAGGTGCTGTATTATTAACAGAACAGCTGGGAAACATACACAAACCGAAGGGGGCTGATGGGGGAAGAATGGGAATGGTGTGTGTGTGGGGGGGGGGGGGCGGCGGCCG